CGCCACCGCATCTCAGGGATTTTGAGTGTACCAATTGAAGGGGAGGCGGAACCCATATTCATTCACGTGCACGCAGTTGCGTTGCATACGCATGCCATTTTTTCCTGAGGTCTGAGTATGGCGCTGCGTCAACCCTTTTCCGCCAATTGTTGTCGCTTGCCCGCTTCAACACTAGGTGGAGAACGGGCTGGCGCTGTAGCCCTTCCACGAAACGTCCCAGCATCCGCAGCGACTGTACCTGCCCACACTCACACTCATAAAACTGTACCTGCCCACATTACCCCTTCTAGGGTGGGTAGCTCACTAGAATTCGTCTAAACCAACCTGTCGCAAACCTATCGGCAACCGTTTCATCAGTATGTGCTGCGACCATGCTAATGTGGACGAATATGTGCCTCTGCCCCCTCCCCCCTCCTCCCTTTATAAGACATACAGCATACAACATACAGTCAGTCCATGCTTGCAGAAACGACGAAAGTTGAACTCGATTGTGCATCCTGCTATTCGTTGGGAGATGTTCATGCAGCTGGTCAAGTATCTACTGTTTGGAAGTCACTACATTGTGCTCGATACGCCGCTTCTCTTTGAATCGGGCTATCACAAGATTCTCTGGACAGTCATTGTGGTGTGGTGGTATGTTCTTCTTTATTTTATTCACGTTCACATCCGATCCTAAGACGTTCACATCCGATCCTAAGCTGTTTGTGATCGGAGTGGTATGTCAAAACCCGAGCACAGGACCTTTCTCCTTGTCCTTTCTCATCACATAAACCTCCCGAGAGGTTACGCTTTTCGAGCGCAGTCGAAATTATTATTTTCATTTTTGTTGTCTTCACAATCAGACCATGCCAGAGGGCCGAAAGGGGTATTGCAGCGGCGGCTGCGTGCTCGTATACTGACAGCCCTCTCTAATATTACGCCTCTGCCGTCTGTACCCCCGTAACCGTGGCTCACAGTTGTTTCGGCCAAGGAACCCCAAAAGACTTCATCCCCCGTGTGTTCTGTATTGCGGTGAATTTTTATGGACCCCATTTAAGACATTCGTCTCTGCAGTGTATGGTTCACAAAAAAGGTAGGGCCGTATGGAGTCACCATCTCAGAGGGTTGTATTGACTCATCCACCGTCTCCATCGGTCTCATTCACCCCGATGTGGTTAAACCGGTAACTGACCGCCGAAACGCTGCCGCCGCCGCGCTCACGACTGAGTTGCCTGGTAGCGTTTCCAACGAGATATAGACTGTATCTACTTGTTCCAGTGACGACGATACTCAGATATCCCGCCTGATGCTTCGCGACAGTCTTACCAAGGAGGAAGCGTTATCGAGAATAAACAGTCAGTTTCCGATTCGTAAAAAGATGGAACTGGCCACGATTCTCATAGACAATAATGGAACTAAAGAAGATTTGAAAGCAAAGGTTCAAGTTTGATTTAATCTTAGAATGATTTGTAAATGAATCAGCACGGTGCCAACAGAGCCTGCCATCTGCACCACTTCCGCCTTGATAATAATCTCCTTATTTGTAGTAATAACAGTGATAATGATACATTGGGTTGAACAAGCGTAGAAGGTGTGTCTCATATGGGCCGATGTGTATGCAACTCCTAAAATTTAGCTATCTTCGTATGACTACTCGTCAGGGATTTCGACAACGGCAGATCAACAATCAGGAAATGTCCGTCGCTGGGAAAAAGTCTTGCAAAATACGACTCCCCTTGAATTTCCTTGGTACGACCCCACCCCCTCTTATTCGTCAACCCACACATCATCTTACCAACTTCCAACTTTACCCATTTTCTCTGTCCCTGAAATCGCAAGTACATAGCACATGGAAACGGGAGATCCGCAATATAGCAAAAGGAGGAAATTTTCTAACGCGCGAACGAATTTTTTAAGGCCAGATACGCCCCTGCTTTCTCAGAGAAATATGGGTGGTGGGGACTCCTTACCCCCTTCCCAACGGATTTTCTTACAAAAAGGATAGCAGTAAAAAACATCGACTATCCAAGGAATCTTATCAAAAACCATAAACGACCCCTCGCTGAGGAATGTCCAGCGTACGAGTGCTCTGTTAAAGAGCGAAGTCCGCGATCAGTCGCCATTGCAGATAATGGATTAGAGGTATGCGTATAGGCGACAAGGTGCTGACTAATTCGATACTGAAGAAAAAGCAGAGAAAAATATAGCAACTGCCCTAAATAGAATCCCCATTTCGATCCCAGTTTGTACGTGCCCATTTAATTCTATCTCCAACACTCCGAGTGTGTGCGTGCGATCGTGCGCGATGTCCCAAGAATTCTGCGACCATACATCGACGATTTCATGCTTTTTCGTCCTTGGCTTCGCTTTCATCAGTCAAGGCGGCCTTGAATGTGGAGTCTGTCTGAGCGAGCGATAGTCTGTAAAAAAAGGCGGCGTCACTGAACCTATATTGCGCTATAGCGCCCCTCCCTTACAATTTTTAACTGCAAAACCGGTACAAGATTGTTCGTCGTGGACACACTACCCTCCTGACGCCATATTTCCATGTTCTATATCTGATCACGGGCCGTGCCTTTACAGCAAGAGCGCATATCATCAATCAGCGTAGCATTTTCTACTGAACAGTATATTATGGATTGTTATGTTTGGTTGGAAAAGCTCTGCGTACATGAACTGGACCATCAGAGTGCGCGACTCCATTTGCTGGTTCGCGCCATTACCGTTTTACTCGTCCTCATCACTTGCTCCTGCATCGCTTTCTAAATAGTTTGTGTGTGTTTCCTTATTTCGATATTTTACGAGGTTTTTGATTGATGTGAACTTGTGAGTTATCAGGTTAAATAGTTTCTTACTCATACCACTTTAACGCGCCATTTAGAGAAAGTGAACGAGTCAGTTCCTGAAGAGGGAAGCGCGCATTGGTAGGTGAAGTTGCGCTTGGAGTGATATGTACTGTGTCTGACTTATCTTTGTATGATGATTACAAATCCACCTTCCGCTTCTGCCGCGGACCTTTCTAAACAAATTTTGCAGGTCCTCAAGAGGCCACCACCTTTTGAAGACCCCACCTCAATGCGAAGACTGCTTCGAATGAGGCCCAGTAGCTCAACGGGAATGCTTGGCTTAGAACGGATATGTTCCTCCGCAAAAATCCTTCGATGATAATTCGCTAAGTTGTGAGGATTCAATAGCAAATTCCAAGACATGTGAATATACATTATATATGATTTCAAAACGGGCCTTTTTCGATCGCCATTTCTTTCCCAGTGTGATAAAGCACAGTTTCACGTTTATCATATAGGCGGAAATCGTCCGTCGTGCGTTCCTCGCGTCCTTCCTCTTAAGACGATATAGAGAATGGGGGAGCAAAAGATACGTTGGTCTCTGACTGTCTCCGCCTTTACGAGTAGCGTGGATTGTACCCTTAAACGTACGTATCGAAAAGCATTTCTTGCCATCTATTACTTAAATAACTTGAAAGTTACAGCCTTGCTATACATTTGCCTCTTCATGTGTGAATGACTTTTGTGTTTGGAAACTTTTATCTTTTTTTGTATAGTATTGTCAATGAAAGGAAGGTATTTGGGGACTGCGTTCAACACTATACAAAGGCGTTTGGATACGCCATATTTCTCAGGGAGGCATTGTGGAGGGTGAAATATGTGGCTGCCTCAGAATTAGGTTGAGCACGTCACAGGACCGAAAGAAGCACTTGTAATGGTGACTGAGCAGAATCCACTTGTCTGTACTGTAGGTAAGTGTTGCAAGTCTTATAGCGAAGCAGCGGTGTCGGTGGAATGTGGTGGATGGTGCGCTAAGCGGCCCTAATTGCGCTTCTCACTGAAGACCTTGTATGTCAGTTCTGGTCAGGACAGTTCATCCCAGCCAATCACATCATCATCAGCCACCACGCACATCACATCACGCGATTAAGCGTTCATTTTTAGCAGGATGACAACACAGACGGCCAATTGCCTACCGACGGCCCTACTGATCAGTTATTTCTCCCTCTTTTTTGAACATGTTCTTTCCGTGTTTTACACATACGTTTTCTGTTTCAGTGTTGATCAGTTACGAGAGGTGGTAGTGGTACACAAGTGCTGGCAAAAAGGGACTGGCAAAATAGGTTTAGTCGGGTCGCAATCAGTCGGTCCCCACCTGCGGCGTTTCCTTCATTGGTTGTTTTCTTCCTCAATCGATCACTACCCGATCACCATTGGCAAAACAAGACGACCTCAGACGGGATAATCTCACCCCTCCTCACACGCCTTTAGTGAACGCAGTGATACAAACCATACCCTCAACCGCGCACTTGAAATAATGCCAATGATACTTTGTGTGATTGGATCGGACGCTGATATGCTGTTTTTCAAGAGGGCTACTGTGAAATTTTCTGCTGACCATCCTTGCATGTGCAGGAGGGCTTTGTATTCCGCGGCCAACTGCATTTTGGAGATTTTCGAGCGAAACGTACCCTATTTCCAAGTCAGCAACAGTGGGCCTTTGGAGAGGAGGGAACAGGTGATGAGCACGACGACGTACCGTGATTTTTTTTTCTGTTTCTAAAACGCAGATAAGGGATCTTATCAAGGAATGTCTTCTCTTTCTTCTGGCGTTAATCCCACGCCGGCGTGAGTCCGCTGCTATCAAAGATTGTGTCGAGTTGGTACATTTTTTATCGGAGCAGCGCGGTACCTCAACTATGGAACGTGATGGTTCCTATCATAGCTAGGGCTCGCTGTTCTGCAATAAAGAGAGAAGAATAGAGCGTTGGCGTGGAACTGTAGTCTTTTGGGATGCGCCACTCATTTTACTTCCGTTCAGAGCCCTAGGAGAGCTCTGAATATGGTCTACAATGAGTTTTAGGGGTCGTCGGATGAACAAATCTAGTCTTTACCATTTCAGAAAGCTCTGACATCATTGAGCCACACGATAGGGATTGAAAGCTCGTTTAGTCCGGATGAGCTGACCCCACAGTTGACCCTCGAACCACACGCGCTCTAAACTGACCACTTCTTTCCGCTTCTTTTTCTCTGATACGAAGGTTTGTCGTTGAAAGGAGGCCATGCAGGATGAGTGAGGCAAGAGCAGGCATCTGGGATTATGTTATGATGCTGAAGAATGGAACACTTCCACCTCCATTTTATAATTTATTCGCACGTTTTATCCATTATCTCTAGGCTTTTTGGGGGACAATCCGTGGAATTACGGTAATCGAAGTTCCTCAGTTTTTTCAATGCTATTGCAAAACGCAGCTTGTTCGTTTCCACGCAATTACTTCGAGCGCTTTTTTCTGTGCTGCAAGGGATTTTACTGCTGGAAAGTGCGAAGAAACAATCGTGTTTTGCAGAATAAAGGTTTCTGCCTGTGCCTAGAGGAGGGAGAGGGACAGCCGTGTTTTAGGTGTACCACTCCAATACCCGCCCGGTACGGTTACGCTTCGCCCTATAGGGTCAAATGAAAAATTAGCGTGACCATCTAAGAGAAAAAGAACTTTGGTAAATAAGCTGGGCACGGTCCCATTCTCTGATCGAGATTCATAAGGCAGCGTTCAGACTTTGCGACGGCAGCGCTTCGGTCGCGCGTTCGGCGCTTCGATGCCGTAGAAAGCATGCGCATCGATTGCGTCGAACGCGCGACCGGAGAGCTGCCTTCGCGAGGTCTGAACGCGGCCTAATCGTTTGGCGTAGTCTGATTTCCACATCCTTTCTTCGCATTGCCGAGGAGTAGAAAGAAGTTGAGGGTTGCTGAATGAATTCAAGCGTGACGTCATCCATGTTTTGATGTTGAAGTAGACTGTGGCCGTCGCTGCCGGTGTCCACTGACATCGCTTCGAAGTCCCACCATTAACGCAGCGAAATTTTCCTTCTATGCACATCGCTTTTGGCTAAGCAGGCTACTTTTCTTCGTGAGAGATCCTGCGAGGGAAGTGTGCATGGTTTATGCAAGGAACCCTGCTCTTGTTACCAACCATAAACGTCTCTCAAAAAGTCCTTCAACTTCGCACAAGGAAGACTCAGTCTAATCATTCGAAGCGCTTTGTCGGACTGGTGCAACTCAAGTGATACCTTCCACAGAAAATTTCCGTATGATCGAGATTGCGGAGAAGGATGGCACTTCTCACTTACATTAGGAACAGATTAGAGATGTTGCCACTTCCTGGTGGTTACGTTTGGCTGTCCTTCTAGGGACTTGAGTGAACGGCCGTCATTCTATGCTGGTGGCCGCCCTCGAATAAAAGTGCCCGAGCTTTGAAGCGCCGAAACCGACGGGACCCTGTGGCATGGCAAGCGACATCTTTCCCAAAGACATCGCAGGTGTCAGCTCCCGACTACAACGAAATGGGATCAAAATCAGGTATTTTCCCCTAGAGCAACTTAAACAAAGTGTCGCAGGATTTTTTTCCAGTCTAATAGAGAGGATGGACTGGGTTTCCAAATTCCTTTT